ACTAGATCTCCTAGTCTTGGGACTAGTCTTAAGTAAGGTGTATATTCAGTACATGGCTTCTGCAAATGAAACTACTGTATGATAGGATGTTAATAGCAAGATGTTAATTTTTAATGCACAAAACCCAAGTAACGTCAGAATAAACAAACTGTCCATAACTCCCTACTTCTGTATTCTGCCCTAACTTGCACCAGTAAACTCATTAATACACATTTAAATATACTTATTTACTTTAGTTTACAAAAACTACAGTATCTATCCATGACCTATGCACATTTAAGGCACACAAAAAAACAAGGCTAGTAGCCAATTCTCTCCACACAACAAAACCAGGAAGACAGATAACAAATACTGAATTCAAATGGCTAAAGAATACCATCACCCCACCCATTTCTGTATGAAAAAGTGGGTGATGGGGAACTCCAAGGCTTTCCAAACTGCAGGTTCTATTCCTATTTTTGTGGCTGCATGGCTTAGCACAAAAATAGGAGCTGGAAGCAATGACATGTCATCAAAAGTCTTTGAATTTCTCATCTGTCCTTTGCTCTAAATCAAAATGTTCTTGATCAGTGCACCCCGCTTTCAGACCCTGCTGAGAGCAGCAGTAGGAATTTTTTAAAGTCCAGAAATCAGGTCCCTCCTACCCCACTCTCAGCACCCCCTCCCTTCCCCTCTATCCTCAGCAGCATGGGTACCTCACTGATCCTGCTGTCCCTTGTTGATGGAGGGAGGCAGAGCCACTCCTGTCTGTTTCAGCTGGGAACAGCAGCAGTAGTGGAAGCAGGGGTTTCCTTTCTGTGCCGCATCCCCCAGGTGTCTCCTGCCAGCCTGGGAGCAAGCATAGGCCCATAATCCAACCACCACCCCCGCCACCACCACCTCCTCTGCAAACCTGGTTGCAGTGGCTCTGCAGTACTTTCCCACTGCAAAATGAATTGGAAGAATTGTTATTTGCGAGGGTTGTGGGAGGACGGGCCCCACAGCTGCTGTCAAAGAGTCAGCAGGGGACAGAAGCAGAACTGGCAGTGGATGGGTTGCTCACCCTGCCCTTGCAGCTAGCAGGGGACACTTGGGGAGACCACTACCACTGTTGCTGTCTTTTGCTGAGCCCAGGGCAAGAAAAGCTCTAAGACTCCCCGCACACCACACACACCAGCTGAGGACAGTGGCAGTGGTAGGTGGAGGAGGGGACAAATGGGAGGGGAAAGGAGGGGTGCCTAAAATGAGGGAATGGGAGACAGGATTCTTAACTGGTTTGAGGACTTTGAAGAAAGTCCCCATTGCTGCTCCCACAATGGGGTCTGCCTGCCTAGGGGTGGGGAAGCAGAGAGGTGCTGCTCCCACATCCTCCTTCACAAAATCCTGGATCTGCCCATGCTGTAGTTGACTTTCCAACATCATGACTGCTCAAAAACTGCATTGTCTTCAGTCACCCCAAGCAAATCCTTAATGTGCTTCATCAGTCAGAGCATTTTAATTCCATGGAACCTCAGTTCACTGCTGATAATGATGCACACACATTGTTGGCACTGCACACACTAACCCTTTGGGAGAGAATCCTTTAATTTCATCCATCACTAAGGCTAGGGACAGACATTCAAAAAGCCTGAGTCTGAATTGATTCAATCTTTGCAGATTAGTCTAACCTGCAAAGCTTAAACCGATTTGGAGGTGGATAGATATTCAGTTTTCATTCTAGAAATCCAGGTGCATGCCTGCAGTGGCTCAGGCTAGAAGCCAGAGGGCACTAGAGCAACCCTTTCTTCACTTCACAGTGCTTGGCTGAGGAGGGTGTGGCCAGGCCCGGCAGGGCACTGATTCCACCCACACACCACCCCCGAGCTGCGCAGCAGGGAATGTTTATCACTCCTAACTCAATGTTGATCAACCCATTAAGAAAACAAAGCCTCTCTCCAAGCTCTTCTTAAACAGTTTTTTCCAAAGGGGGACATTAAGTTACCTGTTGATTAGCTTCAAAAAGCCTGTCTGCCTTTGTTGTCTCCCAGAGCATGGACGGTAGCCAGCATGTGGTCTGCTAGCTAATGCGGTGGTGTCTACAAAAAGCAGAGGGGCGGGGGGAATAATCCCTGCTTAGCTTGGATAAGCCAGGCATACACTCTGTGCCTGTAAGTCTTTGCTGAAGCTACAGCCAAGAAACAGAGGGGGCCAGCCCTGCTGTGGACCAGAGAGCCCTGCCCAGCCCAGAGAGCATGTTAGGATGCTGGGGGAGTCTGGTTTATTTTAAACCAGCAAGGGGTCTGGGACAGATATTACAGAAACCAGTTTGACCCAAATCAGTTAAGTCTGATACTGCATTCAACCAGGTTTATCTCAAACCGGTTTCAACCATTTTCAAATTGGTTTATGTGCACTGAACATCTGTTCTGTTTCAGGTTTAAACCCGTTTCTGATCACTTAAACCAGTTTATGTGTAATGTATGTCCCTAGCCTAAAGGGAGTCTTTTAATCACAATTACATCTGGGATATGACTGAGCAAGTGGCAGACTTCAATGGCTGATACTTCCTTCACTATATTCAACAAAGATAAAACTCCTTTTTGTTTGCACTGACTATGTTGACCAAAACAGTTTCTGAGTTCCATTTAAGTGAAAGCATTAAACTCATGATTATCTTCCTAAAATGGTATTTTCCTTAAGATAAAGCTAGGTTTCACATACTAGATATGAATATATTTATTTAAATAGGATTAAACCGTTTAGGAATTCTCCTAAGCAAAATTTGATTGTTAGCATGAGAGCAATACAAAGCCCTCATGAAAGCCTATGAAAATGGATTAAATGGTGTATTAAGCTGGTTTGTGTTTTAGTTAGGTTGACAGTACTAGAGGGCCTCAGGTGTCAGTCTGCAAAAATCTTGTTGGCCTAATAAAAGATATTACCTCTACCATAAGCCCTGATAGCTCTTTTCATTAAGAGCCTTTTGTAAGGGATTTATTCGAAGATTCTCTCAAAGTTCAAATAACTTGTGTCAATTAGTTCTCCTTTATCAATTAAATTGCTGATATACTGAAAGCTTTCCAGAAGATGAGAGTTACATTTTTCTTTTGCCAATGCCATGTTAAATTGTCTGTCATCCCAGGTCTATCTTGATAGTCCATAATTATATTTTCAACTTCTGTTTCAACCAGTTTTCCTTGTACTGATGTAAGGTTTAGTTCTGTAATTCCCAAGATCACTCCTAGCACTTTCTTCAAATGCAGTTATAATATTGATTACTTTCCAGTCCTCTGACAAAATATCTAATTTTAATCTGAAACTGCATTTCTGATTAAATTCTTAAACATCTCTAGTACCTCAGACACTTCATTTTTAAGTTCCTTCAAAATTCCTTCCTACATACTATCTAGTCCTAGAAGTAGTATGAAACTTGATTTTTAATTTATCAGTTTATCCAGCATCTTAACTTTTCCTGCTTCAACCTGTAATTGTACAGAAAGATTCCTAAATAAGGACAGAAGAGAAAACAAATTTATCTTGTATGTAATATCTTTTAATATCCTTTGATTAGACCTTTTATTCAGTGGTAATCCTGCAGATCCAATGATTCATTGCAGATTTTCTGTTCCTCCTTCTCAGTAATTCAATTTTCTCATATTATTATAATGCAGGGAGTAGGCATAATGGGGAAGCCAATAGATGTAGTGAAGTTAACTCAAAGTTCCACTTCTGACTTTGAATGTATTTGTTTTGTGACCTAACAGACATTAAGCAGTCCTCTACTGAAGTGTCGTGTAACATACTGCACATGGCACTACAGACTTGCTGAAAATATCCTGTATGCATAAAGTGATGCCTATTCATACTTAATTGAAAATCAAAAATCTCTCCATTAGATGCACAAAGTAAACATATTTTTAAACTTAACTTATTTATATTTTTTCTACTATTGGATTCCCTCTATCTCTTTTCCTTGCTGGTTTACATCTTTAATTCATTTTCTGATTCTTTCATTTTTATATGTCAGCACTTCCATCTTTTTATTTTGTTGTTTCTCCCTTTTTCTTGCCTTAATTACTTCACTACTCCATCTCAGTCTCAGTTCTACTCTTCCCATTCTCCTCTTTTCTTTCTTTTATTCTTTCCTGCTTCTCTATGTCCTCCTACCTCTCCACCTTTCTCATTTGCCTCCCTGCATGGCTAAACAAATGGCTAATCAGACGGTATAAACATAAACATATGTTGTGGGAACACCTTATTTCCATTATGTTTCAATGTAAAAACCACCAGAACAATTGCTGCTGGCATAAGTCAGAGGAGTCCAGAAATATGTCTATGGAAAAAGCAAGAGGTTACCACTTAATTAAACATGTGCAAAGTAATTCATAGCAGACAAATAGCCACTGAAAATTTCTAATCTCATCCAAGACCCTACCAGGGGAGGAAATCAGCATTTGAAACTCAATATCATTATCATAAAACTGGATCCCATGGATCAGTTGTGTTATTATTACTTTACACTCATTTTTATCTAAGATATGGTCATTGTAGAAGTAGCCAATTTTCTCCTGCCATTGTCATTTGTCCAGGTATTTCTGTCCCACTACACATTTTGGAAGAGAACCTTCTCTCCCAAAACTTTCACTTGACTGTTAAGTAAAAAAGGTCACAAGGAAAGAAGAGCACAATAGTGTGGCAACAGCATTATAAGCATGCAAGACCAAAAGAAGGTCCCATCATCTAAACAAAGTTCTATCAATATACAAATTAGAAAAGTTATGACAATAATACAGTAGTAACCATAAATATAAGGCATAACATTAAATAACTATTATAAATGGATTTAATCATATTTGTCCTACTAATTAACCCAATTCACCCAAGAATACTTCTTTTCCCTTATTATAGATAGGATGAGCCACATAAGCTACTTGAAAAACAGGTTGACTATGGTATGGTATACTTTTCAATTTGATAAGAAAAAGATCAATATGGCAGTTACCTTCATAATTTGTAATGATGTAAGAAAGTTTGATACTTACCCTCTCACCGGAATATTCATACTTCTTGCCAATTTAGCAACTTCTTCAAATCTTTCTATGCTTTCTTCTATGGAACAATTGATGTTCCTTTTGCTAAATGATTCAGATGCTGCGCCAAATACTGAGACTTCTGTAGCTCCTGCTGCAATCTGAAAAACGGAATTCAATAAAAACAGAATTGTAGACATGAAAAGTAGCATTTAATTGTATAACGAAGACATAAAATTGTGACCCCTAGTACCAATAAATCAATTTTACTTTTACCTGATGTTATAGAAACTGCAATATTAACTGACATTTTTGTCAGTGCGTTCCCTCTTAATTGACTGGATAAGGTGAAAATTACTGCTTTAAATACTGCAGTCTGTATTAATTAACACCTGAGTTTTTAAATGATATTCCTAGATATGTAGTTATAAGACATTATTTAAATTGTGATGATAATAAAATAAACTGCTAGTTGTAGTAACTAATTGATACTTGCTATTTACAGAATGAATAAAAACAGCATAAAAATGTCAGAATGCTAATCAGCTCTACAGCCCATCGTCATACCTTCAGTGAGAGGTGTGTGTGTGCACATCAGTGAGGCTCTGATCCTGGAACAGACTCTGAAGGTATATCTCTGCAACTGGCTACAGCTATAGGCATAACTGGGGCACTGGGCTGTAATGGCTTTATTATATCATTATGGACTTCCTGGAGACTATATAACACAATCTACCAAAAAAAGGTGTCTCAGGTAAGTAGGAGAGTAGGTCATTTTCATGATCTTGATAGAGGCAGCTAATTTGCCCTTGGACTCTCTAAGGACAAGCTAGCAGCCTAGATCCCTGGGAACCAGAAGATGAGGTGAAAAAAAAAAGGGGCAAGGGAAAGACAAAATAGAAAGAACAAACACATGGGCATAATAGAAGAATGGGAAAAACAACTTTTCCAATGAAAACAGTGCTGCTTTCCCATTAAATAAGTGGTTCTTTCATTGTTTAAGTTTGCTTTTCCCTAGTTTTCACATTAGGTAGGGCAGCAGACTCTTTTTACCTAGGTTTCATATTACTTTGCTTTAGAAATTCATAAGCAGATTAATTAAATTGGTACAACCTCAGTTTGGACAGTTGCAAAATTATCAGGGCAGTACAAAGATCCTAACATATACTGCTAAAGAAATACAAAAACAAAGTGTTAGACTATAGGTTGAGCTCCAGCTTGAAGTGTTTCAGCTGTGGACAGATGCACACCCCCACACACAACCCCTGGCTGGAGGGCTTCAAAATTGCCACAGCTGTGAGAGTGGGTAAACAGAACTGTCTGTGAGTACTCTGCTGCGCTCTCTGTCTTCACTGTCTTGGAGCACCTCTTCATCGAGGTGGTAGGCAGAACTGAGACTCCTCCTGTTTAATGATTCTGGCCATGGGGGTGCTCCAGGAGAGCAGAGGCAGAATACATCAGTACTTACTGACAATCTGATTCTTTTTACCCTTCTTCATGGGTAGTGTACAGAGGCGAGCTCTGTGAGATGCTTGGAAGACCCAGTTTTTCACTGTGACACTCTGCGGAATGCGCACTTCATTCTGAAGCATTTCTGAATAGTAGTTATTTTCTATGGAGTTATTTTTAGAGCCCTTGTGACATTGTTGGAGCACTTAAAATGGCATGTATATCTGTCTGCTCACCCTTTCAAGTCCTTCACGGGCACTGAGTGCTCAAATGTTATATCTGTCCAGGGCCTAAGGCTCAAGAGACTCCTACTTCATCCTTCTAAAGAAAACATTTTTATAAAGAAATGTATGTCTCTTATGTTCAAAATATTTCTTCTCCTCCAGGCAGCTCAAATAAAATATCTTCCCTGAAGACTAAACTACTAAGAACAGCAACAGAAGAAAAAGTAACATTTGACACTAAAGGGAACAAACCCTGCTATAAGGAAAAACAAAACAAAATGACTTGGGTTTCCATTTTCCTAAACTATTGTACCTACCTATTTCATCTCCAGGCTTACAGTGCTGTGGTCTGCAGGATCACTCTAAACACAGCCAGCAGGCTGAGAAGAGGATGAACTGTCAATACAACAGGGCCAAGTGCTTCTACAGCCTAAGTGCCCATACGTGCTGGGTCAAAAAATTGAATTCCAATCTCAAGGGAAATACCAAGAGTTCAAAATTTTGTTTCTTCTCAGATCAGGACAAAATGAAGAAAGCTCAGAATTTTTCCCAAAACCAAGTAATCCAAAATTATTTTGTTGTGACCTTATCAAAATGTGTCATTTTGATGTTTGAAATACTTCGTGTTGATAAGGTCAAAACACATAGTTCCAAGTATCAGTATGACTTTATATATTATTAGCTGAAATGATAAAGTCAAAATGAAACATTTTAACCTCACTGAAATGAAATATTTTGATAATTTCCCATCAACATTTAGACAAAATTGATACATTCCTACAAACCATTTTGATTTCACTGAATCATTTTCCAATGGGGAAGCATTCCATTGGAAACCTTTTGACCAGCTCTAGTGGCAAGAAGCCAAGTAGTGAAAAGGAATTATTTTTCCTTCTTTATGTGCGTGCTACAATTTACAGCACTTTGCAGAAGACTGTTTGATTGATCCAAATGATTAAAATGTAAATTTATAGACTTTAATGTAGTTCTCTGAAATCTGTAATTTGCTCTATGAAAACGTATACTTTTACATAAAAATACAGTTATTGAGAACTGGGTGTATGATACAGGTACAGAACTGGTTTAAATGACATTGAATAGCTAGATTATGGTACTCTGCCTAATGTTTGAAACATGAAGAACTTCACTGCAGACACATTCTACCAATGCACTTACAGCAGAAAGGAAACCTCGAAGATTAGGAGTGAGAACAGGATATTGGACTCCAGGATGCCGTTCAATCCCTCTCATTACTTCTGTGTGATCTGCCATCTTAAATACATAAATATTTTGCATTTATTTTTCAAAGGTATTAAGAATTAACTTCTGTCTTTATTTTAAAAATTTTAAATATACATTTACTGAGGGATACAACAATACTTCAGCAGAAGTTCATGTAATAATTCAGGACTGTCCATCTTCCAAGTGGCTGGGGTCCACATGCCTTGAGAACTGCAGCAGCAAGGGCTGCACAATGCACTCCATCTGAGCTGTGGCAGCATGAGCAGTGGGACCCCCAGAGTACATACCACATGGGCACCTCACCATGATGTGCAGGCATTCAGTCCCCCACCCTCAGCTTCCTGGCCACAGGCTCTCCCCACATGGCATGCGCCATGCGGGGACCCTGGGTCACGAGCTAACCCAGCACTGTGGGCTGTGCCATGCCACCATGCTGCATGGGGTGGGGGCAGAAAGTAGAAACCAAAAGAGGGAAGGGGAACCCAGTGACCCTGGCTGATGCTGCAGCTAGAGTAATGGGAGTAGCAGTAGCCAGGTGGGAGACATACAACATAAATTAACCCCTCACAGGCCACGTGTGGCCCCCAGGGTCACCAACGGGACAGCGCTGTAGTAATTAAAATGACACCTGCAACACAGCAATGACACATTAGACTCTACCAGTAGCACCAGTTAAGAGCCATAAACTCTGCCTCCGATCCCTCAGTCTTGATCTGATCAGTGTCCTAAAGGTAGACTTAACAGATTGGGCTCTGTACATGATCGTTTTGTGGTCAGCTTTGTTTCTTTTTTGTTTTTTTGAATATGATGACAATGATGAAGAACGTGTGTGACCCAAGTCCAATTTCCTCCTCCATGTGATGGGATTCTAACCCGACTCTTCCATGCCCTGAAAAAATTTCTTGACTACTAGTCCATATGTTGTTCTGGGGTAAACTGAGTGGGCACCCTTCATGTCTCCTTTTACAGCTGTTCTGCTGTGCATAAAATATTCTAAATTAACTGGGCCAGGGAAAGACTTTGAGAACACAAATGAGCAGGGCTCTCCAGTCTAAGGGCTGGGGCACTCACATGCTGGGGATAGCTTGGTTTATTTCAGAATTATTTTTAAACAGGTATTGTCAAATAAAATACTGGTTATGGAACCTAAATCACCCTTTTCAAGTGAGTGATGACTACTAAGCAACAAAGTTGTGCTCCCTTTTGACTCTGCTCTCTCTTTCTCTGTCTCTCTCTCATCTGCCTTACTCTCATTCTTTTTCTGAATTTCTAAGGCCATTCTTTAAGAGAGGACCTTTTCCTTCAAAATATAATAATTTTAAAATGTGACAGTATTTGAGCTTCAACTACTTTCCAGTGGCACTCTGTCAATATTAGCATGACATTTTTAAAACAGTGCTTCCTAAATTGTGGAACACAACCCACTACGAGAGGACCTGAAATCTTTTTCAGGGGTGTGACAATCAGCAGTAGAAAAAAATCAGCAATAGAAAGGATCAGCATCAATCAGTGGCAGAAGTAAAAGGAGTAGAAGAGTGGCTGTGACAGTGGCAATGGAGCATAAATAATAAAAAGTTTGGGAAATGCTGCTTTAAACTATAAACTTAGAAAATTCTTCTTACCATAATAATGAAAACAAAATACACATCTTCTAAAATAATTTTCTATACTTGGTGCTATTGCATTTTGACAGCTTGAAAGAAGTACAAAGAATTTTCAAATGCTGGTTTCAATGAGGTATTTACCTGTATAGTTATGCTTTAATAATAGCAACATGTATAATACTCTGAAAAATAAAGTGTGTTCTCTTAATATTATAAAGTTAAACTTTCATAGTATGTTTCTGGTTAACTGAGTTTTCTTATGCTCTTTATCGAATTTCATAGGACCATATTTCCTGATAAAATGGATAATATTGAGTTCAGTTTTTAAAGCAAATATCTATAAGAAGCTGTCCACTTCCAAAGACCAAAAGGAAAACACATTCAAAATAAAGTAAAACAAAAATCATCAGTCCCTTCCAGACTTAATGATAGTTTTGTCCCACCGATACAAGTTATCCTGCTTTAATACTAATAGTCTTTTTCCAAACCTTTCCCCTAAACTCTACAACTCCATAGACATACTCTCTTTGTAGCACTAGCTGTTCTTGTGAACTCAGGTACAGGTAAGTAAATGACATTTTATAAAATATTCACTTTACTTATCACAATAAATGTGGAATAAATACCTATAATTTCCCTGGGATAAATCAGGACTAAACCACATTCAATTCAGTGTAGAGGTATGCATCACATATGTGTCTGCTCTTTGCTTATACCAGTGTCCCAGTCTGATTACCCTGGTGTAAAGGTACCATGCATCTTAGCCCTGTTTCTTCTTCTCTTTTGCATTCCTTCTTCTCATCCATTGTTTCACTCTTGTGTCTCTCTCTCTTTCTTTCTGTTGCCCACTCCCCCAACCTTTTCACCTGATCCTGATACCAACCACACATTATGACACTAACTTCACTCATTTCCAGGCCATTTTCTAAACAGATTGTTTTATCTTTGCTAAGCTTGCAAGTTTTTATCCCAAGTCTTATAAGCCTGGTGCTCTACTTACAGTCCCAGTCACTGAAATCTTGCAATCAGGGATCTGGGTTTTCCGTTTCCCATGGAAAAAAAGAAACCATTAAAAAACCAAGATTTTCCCTTTTTACCTGAGAAAAACACAGATTTTTCATTTTAACAGAGAAACATGGATTTTGCACTTTTGCAAAGAGCTCTCTGCAGGCTGGCAGAGTCCCAGCCTGCAAGGGGCTGGGGGGCAGTCAGGCAGGGGGCCTCATGTGCACGTATAGGCACATGGACACCAAGCAGCATGGAGAGTAGATCCTGCAGGTAAGTCTGGCAGGGGGGTTGGTGTGGGGATTGAGGGCCCCATAGGAAGGGAGGAAGTTGGCATGGCTATGGCAGCTACCTGGGGCTGGAATATGTAGCCAGAGGCCCCAGCAGGGAGTGGGATAAGGCTGTGGGCAGCTCATCCAGGGGGCCAGCTTCCCACTGCTGCATGCATTCTTAGGGGGGTAGGCAGGACCCGTGCCCCCCAGATCTGTGCATGGGGTGGGGATGAGTTAGTATGCTTGAAAGAACCCACTGGGGCTGCCTCAGTGTATCTTCAACATCATTCTCCTATATTTGAAGCATGTGTCCCAGCAGCAAGGTGTGGTTCAGGCTGTCCCAGGTATGGCATGCTGCCAATAAGGTGTAGACATGCCCTACGTGTATACTGTCCAGTCCTGTATTCTGAATGAGGCAGCAGCTAGGTAGAAAATATACTATGAGATCATGTAGTTATAAACCCCCATGCAGAACTCTGCCACTTGAGCTAATGGAAAAACTAATATCGTGAACTAATTTTGGCTGGAATTTTCCAAACAAATCATCTAGAAGCAAAAACTTTAGGAAATGATTATAAAGTAATTATATTTGCAGAAATGGAAAGCGGGGTCTTGTCATACGGACTGTCAGGCATTCTTTATCATAGACAATGCTGCCATCTTTACTTACGTGATTAATAATGACTTAAACAGCTCTTCTGAATTACACAACGCAACTTTCTAAGGCCCCTAGTTTGTCTTCATTTCAAACTTCATAAAATATTGTTACATTATTAAAAACAGTAAGTTATGAAAAAAAAAAAGAAAAGTATATTATTCTAATGTTTTGTTTTCATTAGCAATGCCAAATCATACAGGTTGCTTCACTCTCAGGAGACCCTCATGTTTTTTTCTGATACAGTTATCTTTTTCCCCACTCAAGCTTAAAGATAGTTCAGTCAATTACTCAAGAAGATCATTAATCAAATTAAGTAATTTCTATTAATGCTATACCATAACAGGATCATTGCCAGAAAATTTCAACTGAATGAAGTGAAAAAAGAAATCAGTACTTTTAAATGATATCCATGTCTGGAAACAATAAACTTAACATATTCCTCATATTTCATGTCTGAAAGGCTTTGAGATTTCAAAAGATGCAACTGAATAATATGGTTTCAACTGCTGTTTAGATTTGCCTTCACACCATTAAAGGCTCCTAGCACACTATAATGTGTGCTCTGGTGTTAAATTAATTGATTTCTTTCAAATTATTTGAACCGTCTTCAGGGCTAGGGACAGAAGTTACGCATAAACTGGTTTAAGTGATTAGAAACTGGTTTAAACCTGTAACAGAACAAAAGTTCAGTGTACATAAATCACCTTCAAAATGACTGAAACGGGTTTAACATAAACCTGCTTGAAAGTAGTATCAGACTTAACTGATTTAGGTCAAACCGCTTTATGAAACTTCTGTCTCAATCCCCTTTCTGGCTGAAGTTAAATCAGAGTCCCTCAGCATCCTAGCATGCTCTGCAGCCCTGAGCTGGACTGGCTGTCTGCTCCAGGAGAACAGGGCTGGCCTCGCTCCTCTGCTTCCTACCTGGAGCAGTGAAGGAGGACTCACTGTCTGGCTCACTAGGCTCCCCAGGCAAACCCCAGCTGGAGTCTGAGACCAGAGAGGATTAAACTGAGTACAGAGCTTCCCAAGTACAGAGCTGCCCTTTTCCCTGCTGCCTTACTTACCGCTGGCTGCAACTGTGGACTACAAATCCCAGAGGCACCTGGAAGCAGGAAGAGGAAGCAAACACAGCCCCTGCCAGAGAGCTGTGCTCCAGTATCCCCTGGCTTTGGGCTAGAGCCACTGCAGGTATGTAACTGCATTTCCTGAATGCAAGTGAATGTCTGTTCATTTGCTTACTGATTCAATCTTTCCATCTTAAATCAACCTGCAAAAACCAAATCAATTCAGCCTCAGGTTTTTGATTGTCTGTACTTATGCCATGGGATCTTCTAAACAGCGTTCCCTCTAATCTGTGCAGTGTGCCTGGTCCCACAGGTGCACTTATACCGCGTTGCCAGGTATGCCTGCGCAGCCACACACACCACGTAGCTTAGAGGGAACACTGCTTCCAAATAAAGCAATAGAAACATGTAATTGTTTAAGATT